GATTTCTCATGATTGAGTAATATTCCATTATATATATCACACACCATCTTTTCTTTATCCATTCATTGATGAACACTTAAAAGTATTCATCTAAGTTTTACTTATTGTAATAAGTACTTGTTTCCATGTTTTCCTTATTGTAATAATTCTCCAATGAACATGGCAATGCAGATATCACTTCAATGTAGTGATTTCATTTCCTTTGGATATGCACCCAGAAGTAGGATTGCTGGATCATATGATAATTCTAATTTTAATTTTTTGAGGAACTTCCATACTGTTCTTCAAAATGGCTGTACAGTTTATATTTCTATTAACAGCACGTAAGTGTTCCTTTTTCTTCATATTCTTGTTAATACTTGTTTTCTCTTCTCTTTTTGATAGCAGCTATTCTAACATATGTGGGGATACATCTCATTATGGTTACTGCATTTTCCTAGTGGTTAGTGATGTTGAATACATTTTCATATTCCTATTGGCCATTTGTATGTCCCCCAAATTTACTCAACTTATAAATGAAAATTGCCTCTTACTTGTAGCTTTGGAAATAGGCCTGTTCATGTTCTTTGCCCATTTTTTCAATTAGATTATTTGGGTTTTTAAAAAAATTGATTTGTGAGAGTTCCTTATATATTTTGGGTATTAACCTCTTATCAGACATAAGATTTGCAAATATTTTTTACTATTCTTTACGTTGCCTTTTCATTTTGCTGAGCATTTCCTTTGCTGTGCAGAAGCCTTTTGATTTAATGTAGTCCCACTAGATTATTTTTGGTTTTGTTGCTTATGCCTTTGGTGTCATATCTAAAAAATCATCACTAAGGCCTATGTCAAGAAAGTTTTCCCTATGTTTTATTCTAGGAGTCAAAAGCCTTTTCTTGTTTTCAGAATATTACTCTATAAGAAATTAAGTTATAGATGAAAAAAAACTATCTCTCTGAGGATATTTGTTATAATTTTTTATTAAAGTTTTCTGTTTCTTGCTTTATTTCTATTCTTGTAAATTTCCCTTCTCTGTTCTAGTCTCTGTTTTTCATGTCAACAGCTTTCCCCTAAGGTTTGGGGATCCTTGGATGCATGTTCATGTTTGTGGGGGAGGCTTATGTGTTTTTGTTTGTTGCCTGAAGGGTTTTACTTCAGTGTCTTTTTAGGAAAATATCAATGAGCATTTTTGTAGGTTTTTTCTTTCCTTGGGGTTGTCAGCCTCCCCAGAACTTTAATCTCCTATCTGGAAAGTATTAACTTTGATGACAATATTCTGTGAGTTGAGTGGATAAGAAACTAGTTGGTCTTACATTTTAGTATGTGAACTTTCACATAATCCTGTTTGCAGACAGTGCTTCACTTCTACCCTCAACTGTGTCTATGATCCTTCAACTATGGTGATGGCATTTTAACAGAAAGTAAACTCTAGTTTTCTTCTGGGGTTAATAAAAAGTAGTTGGTCACCTGTGCAGTGTGGGAGAGGTGATCTAGGGTAACAGGTGAAGTTTTTAAAGTCTTCCAAATTCAATGTCACCTATACCCCCACCTGCATAATACTTAAGATTTAAGTATACTTAACAAATACTTAAGATTTAACTGATGAAATATTTCCTAGATTTAGTGATTTTGAATCAGCATGGTTAGCATGCAGTTCTCTCTTGGATTTTCAAGACCACTTATCACTGAGAATTTATACTTTTTAATTTATGCTCTTTTTTCATAAAGTATTCCCATTTTAATGTTGTTTAAGGAAGAATCAGGGAAAATTACTTTGGCGGGGAGGGTTATCAGAAGTCTCCATTCTATCCATTTTTTTAAAATGATTTTATTTATATATTTGACAGAGAGAGTGAGAGAGCACAAGCAGGGGGAACAGTAGAAGGAGGGGGAGAAGCATTCCTCCCTGCCCAGCAGGGAGTCCCATGCGGGGCTGATCCCAGGATCCTGGGATCATGACCTGAGCTGAAGGCAGACACTTAACCATCTGAACCATCCAGATGCTTCTCCATTCTCTCCATTTATTGAGATTTCCTCTATACTCATATCTCCCATTACCACCTACATTCCAAAGCATCTTAAATACATCTCCAGCCCTGATGGCTCTTGTTACTTTCACATCTGTAGACATCACTGCTTGGATTTGTCACAGGTGCCTCATCATGTGACTGCTATTTAAACGCTATAGTATTTACAGAAGTGCGATACAAACATTTACTGTATACCATGTTAATTTTGCAAACATTTATTAAGCTAGTATTGTGTTTCAGGCATTGTGAAATGAAGTAGAATTGTAGAAATGAAACAGACACAACCATGTCCTGTAGGAGCTCCTGGAGAGAGAGACAGAAACTTATTACTGGTGCTTTGAGATGCATACATAGAGGTAATGGAATATAGAAGAAGAAATGTTTATCTTTACCTAAGGAGAAGGGTCAAGAATGACTTCAGAGAGAAGTCTTCAATGTCTAATGGTAGTACATGTTTATCAGACAGATAAGATTGTGATAGGATTTTTCAAGCAGTATGAAAAACAAGGGTTTAACATAGCCACATATGTAGGTTGGAGCGTTAGGGGAGCCAATATGGATGGATCATTGGTCAGGGGTATATAGTGGTGTGAGAGACAAAGCTGAAGATTATAACAGAGTCTTGCATACCACACCATGGTCTTTATCCCAAGGGCTATGGGAGACCAACACTGCATGTTAAGATCCTATTTGTACTTTAACACACAGAGGTTTGGGGAGGATGGACTTGAGAGGGAACAACATAGAAGACAAAGGGAGATATGGGGCTCTTGCCATCTAGACTAATGCTACTCAAATCATGGTGTCCATTGGCTAACTTACTCTTATGAGTCCTTGAGAAACGTAAAAAGCTTATAGTATAATGCAAGCCAACTACTTCATAAAGCATACTGTTTAGTTGGAGCAACTTTGCTCTCATGGGAAGATTTTCTCCATAAAGGAAGCTGTATTTTGACGTAAATTCTGGGGCCAGCCATTTACCTTGTAGCAGATCTCCAATTTGAGTGGTTGTGGTCTTCATCATTGGTCTTTAAATTCTTTCTATGTCACATAGTCACAAGTAAAAAATGTTTGAGTATGTGCCTTTAACATATGTACATCTATGAGCTTTACACACATATTACTATAATACATGTTATACACATTATAAAAAACACTAAACATACATTTCAAAAGGATAAGATAAAAATAAATACTATTTTTAAAAAATTTCACTAAAGTGAGAGCAGTGTAATTAAATATACTTCACTAATTTTGGAAATTGCTGTTTAACTCTTTCTGATATAGCTATTCCAGAGGTCCGCTTCTGGTTCAGTTTATTTTGGCTTTGGTTTAAATGGCTGTCAATAAAAAAGTTACCGCACAAAGATAGATGGTTCCACATGGAATAAGGCAGGCTTGGCTGTACTTACTAAGTTAAGATTCTCATCTCTCAATCCAATTCAGGAATTAAATGCATGTTTTTTACTGAAATTCATATTCTCAGATGTCAATCAGTTGTCTTTGTATACTAACCTGAAGGTGTTTCATTTTCATATTTTAGACACATGGATTTTAAACCCCTGTAGTTATTAATTTGAAATATTTTTTCAACAGGGTAAAATTCAATTTCTGGTTTTAACAAGATGTAATTTTCTTAAGTGACATTCACCATTCTCATTAAATACCTGTTTTTAAAGGCCCTTTCCAAAGCACAAATTTCTTCAGAAATACAACATTCATTAGTGAAATATCACATTTATCTTGAAGGAACAGTTAAAGTTGTCTTTAAAAGTAACTTCGAGGATAAAAAAAATCGGAGAAAAGGTCAACACCTTTTTTTTTTTTCCCACTTGTGTTATTGTGGAAAGAAAAATGCATAATGGTTTTAAGTACTTTGCCCTGAGTTAACAAAGAACCCCCATGTGGTGCAGTAGATTTTCAGGGTCACTCTGCCCTCTCATATGGAGTCTATCTGTTAAGAAAATAAGGCCATGAATTCACTGAACTAGGGGCATTCAATCTAAAAGGGAGGTACAATTGTTGAAACTGAAAGAGTTGCAGATGTTAAGTCTTGAACTGTGGATCACCCCCTGTTCCCTTGGGATGCCTCCATTCCCTACCTGACACCTGAGGGACCACAGTCATCTGTGTATAAAATAGTAGCAAAACTTAATTTGTTCTTATTTTTAAAAGCTTAAGTATAAATAGAACCTCTAATATTTCTTCTTGCCTCTAATGGATTATCTTGTATGTCTCCTGGGGTGCTGTGCTCTGCTTTGGCAAGGACTTGACCAGATAGATGCTCAATGGTGAGATTCTTTTTTTTTTTTCCCCACTCATTCAAAACATTATTCAGTGTTTATTATGGTCAATGGTGAGATTCTAAACAAAGGTAAAACCAGGGGATGGGCAAGATGGCACTGATAAAGAAACTTGAGAGAGGCAGAATTGACAGAACTTGGTTACCTATAAGCTGGGGGGATGCAAATCATGGAAATGAACAAGTAAATATCTTTTCATGCTGTTTAAAACTAATTATGTCCCATCGTTTCCAGTGATGGCAAGTTTTACCAGATAGGAATCAAACCGTTTATACTCTTCCTTCTTCATGCCAGGTATTGTGCAATCCACATTCGTACACACTTTTCCCTGCATAGATTGTCTTCCACCTATTTGTAGATCATCCTGTGTCTCAGAGTTCTGCAAATAGCAGCTGCTCAAAAATATCTGTTTTTTTCCACAAGAGTGGACACCATGAATATCCACACCAGGGTGACTTCCTGATGGGGCATCAGGATGGCATGGTAGAGTGGGAGATCTTCTGAGTCTCAAAGAACAAGGACTTTCTTCCAAGCAGTAGCCTGTACAGGAGGAGCTAAGCCTTTAGACAAGTCTTTAGCCAAGACATCAACATTCCCTACCCATAAACACTAGCTGCTCCTCTTAGTGACCCCCTCCATTCCAAATAACATAAGACAAAGGCTGACATTCTTTTGTCTTACTTACAGCAAGGTTGGTCCACTGTGCACTCCTCCAAATGCATCCTTGTCAATAGCTGTCAAGTACTTATTCTTGTTCAGGTAACTAGAGAGAGAGTAGGAGAGAGAGTTAGGTGAGGTTAAGAAAATTAATATAAATGCCAAAATGAAATGTGAGCATGATCTCCCTGGCTATTAACTGCTTAAAAAAAAAAAAAAAGATTTATTTATTTATTTGAAAGAAAGAGAGAGAGAGGACAAGGAGGGACAGAGTGGGAGGAAGAGGAGAGAGACTCTCAAGCAGATTCCCCACCAAGCACAAAGCCTGATGCGTGTCTCGATCCCATGACCAAGAGATCAGGAACTGAACTGAAATCAGGAGTCAGATGCTTAACCAACTGAACCACCCAGGTGCCCCTATTAACTGGTTTCTAAGAATCTGGAAAACACCTTACCTTCTTCTAGCTTAAGCACTCAAAACATTCTAGGTTTTAGTTGTGCAAGGTTTATACATATTAATTATGGCACATGTCTTTGGAAGTGAGCATGTTTAGGATATAGCTTGCATATCTAGACTTTATAAAAGTTGTCTAGTTCCCTATTTGCAGGCATACCTCAGAGATACTGCAGATTTGGTTCTAGACAATTAGGCGAGTCAGATAAATTTTTGGTTTCCCAGTGCATATAAAAGTTATGTTACACTATATTTCAGTCTTTTAAGTGTACAATAGCTTTATGTCTAAAAAACCAATGTTCATACCTTAATTTAAGAACACTTTATTGCTAAAAAATGCTAACCATCATCTGAGTCTACAGCAAGTCATGATCTTTTTGCTGGTGGAGGATGTTGCCCCAGTGTTGACAGCTGCTGACTGATCAGGGCGGTGGCTGCTGAAGGTCAGCGTGGATGTGGCAATTTCTTAAAATAAGACAGCAGTGAAGTTTACTGCATTGATCGACTCTTCAGAACAATTTCTCTGTAGCATGTGATGCTGTTTGATAGTATTTTACCCACAGAACTTTCAAAGTTGGGGCCAGTCCTCTCAAACTAAATTTATGTCATATTCTAAATCCTTTGTTGTCATTTTAACAATCTTCAGAGCATCTTCTCCAGGTATAGAGTGCATCTCAAGAAACCACTGCTCACCCATAAGAAGCCACTCCTCACCTATTCAAGTTTTATCATGAGATTGCAGGAATTTAAAAGTAATAATAATGAAAGAGTTTGCAATGTTGTGAGAATTACCAAAGTATGACACACAGACATGAAGTGAGCAAATGCTGTTGGGAAAATGGCTCCAAGAGAGCTGCTTGATGAAGGGTTGCTACAGACCTTCAATTTGTAAAATTCAGTATCTGTAATGAAGATTGTCAGAGACTCAGATCTTTTCTTGGGAGGCAGGGTTGCCAGATTTAGCAAGTAAAAATACAAGATGCCGAGAAAAACAATGAATAATTTTTTTAAGATTTTATTTATTTATTTGATAGATAGAGAGCACAAGTAGGCAGAGCAGCAGGCAGAGGAAGAGGGAGAAGCAGTCTTCCTGACAAGCTGGGAGCCCAATGTGGAACTCAATCCCAGGATCCTGGGATCATGACCTGAGCTGAAGGCAGACGCTTAACTGACCGAGCCACCCAGATGCCCCACAATGAATAATTTTTAGCATTAGTATTCCCCATGTAATTTTTGAAACTTTCTTATACTAAAGAGTTATTTGTTGTTTATCTGAAAAATTCAAATGTGATGGGATGGCCTATATTTTCTCTGACAATCCTATTTGGGAGGTGTGAAGAGTGTGCAGGTTACACAGATAAGATTACAGAGAATGAATATGTAAATGAATAAATAAAAAAAATTAGTGTACCTCTCTTCCAAAATAGTGAGGTGGGTGTCACATGAAATTGCTTTAAGGAAAAGGGAATAGAGAATGAAAGAAGCGAAGACTCAACATACAATATGGTGGCCCATTGAGTCTCTTGATGGCAGTGACAAGGCAGCTGATTACAAATGCCACATGGTACAGCCCAGACATGGCTTTTTCAGGCAGGAGTGGGACATTAAGCCTCTAGGACATTGATAGGTCTGAAATGGGGTTCCATTAATCCCATATATATATACCAAGACCCAACTAAGATGCTACGGGAGCTCATCTATGCGTTCAGATTGAATGACTATCATGTAAGGCTGTTGGTCACAGGCTTCTTTGGTCATTGTTTGACTGTCCCTCAACACACAGTGTCCATGGAATTCCTTTGGTCAGTGACAGCTAGAGCGGGCAAGAGCCACCTTGGAGAAACAATAGGAAAGAAGATCTTGAACAGCATGATTTTGTAAAAAGACAACAAGCTAAGCATATGTGCTGCACTGGCTTACATCTCTTCTTGTGTTCTTTGGACCATGCAGCTTGAAGGTCACATTCTGTTCCCAGACTGCTGAAAATCAAGTGGGGATTGGTGAGCTCATCTCAGTTTTCCCTCTTCATCTCAGACTGCTGCAAGTAAAAATCGGCTTGCTCTAATCATTAGAAATTATTGTAAAACTAAATAATTGCTTGTCCAAGTCTGTAGTGTTTTCATCTGTTATTCAATACGCCCCCAAGGATTGGGAGAATGGTTGATAAGCATTGCAGTTTACCAGAAACACTGCAGAAGATTTCAAACTGAGAAAGCCAGCCAGAGTCCAGGGGGAAGAAAGAGGATGGAGAGAGGGTGCAGCCAGCTTGAACGGAGATGAACCAGATCTTGGGGAAGGCTCTGTTCTCTAAAACCAGCAGGGTTGTTGGGTACTTTATCTCTTAGAGATAACTAGGTGCTCAAAAAAGAGACTCACTCCATGTGTAGCCGTTTGGAGGGCTTGCTTATTATCACAGATAATGTGATAATTCTATGAAGCTTTTTACCTTGGGTTCAGATAGCTGATTCTACTTTCCATTTGAAGCTAAGAGGATGGGATGGGGCCAAATATCCACAAAACCCTTAATACCCAAGAATAAAGTGCTTCCATCATCCCCATTTATCATATAATGTTACCTGGAAATGGTCTACTGATTTCTTCTCCACGACTTAGGCTGATTCCTCTAGAATCCACATTCTGTAAACCAACTTGGGTAAATCAATCACAAATCTTGGTAGGATCTATGGGTAAGCTACTCCAGACAATCATTATTTTATAGGCGTGGGGTATGTGATCATTTAAACTATATTTTGCAAGGACATGGTAGACATAAATGAACTTAATATGCAGTATAAAGCTTTGGAGTCAGAGTTGAAAGGAAAGACTTCGAGAAAGCCAGGATTTCTAAATATACACACAGTGAAGGGCTTATGAGAAAAGAACTAGCATTTCCCTTAAAAATAATATAGACACTCGGGGCGCCTGGATGGCTCAGTGGGTTAAAGCCTCTGCCTTCGGCTCAGGTCATGATCCCAGGATCCTGGGATTGAGCCCCGCATCGAGCTCTCTGCTCGGCAGGGAGCCTGCTTCCTCCTCTCTCTCTCTCTGCCTGCCTCTCTGCCTACTTGTGATCTCTATTTGTCAAATAAAATAAAATAAAAAAAAATATTAAAAAAAATAATATAGACACTGGGATATGTGTGTTCAATGCCTTTATAATGTTCATGCTGTGTATCTCACAGTGAAGAAAGAACAATGTGGTCAGGAAAATGAAGATGGTCAGAACTGAGTTGGGGAAGAATACCCAGTTGATGAATTTAGTATGAGAGAGACAATATTATAGCTCACATCTTTCTTCATTGGACTCCTTCTTGGCATATAGCAGCCATTCATTAAAACTTGCTGGATGAATAAATGGAAGTCCAGCTCCTGGGTAACTAACTCCTAGCTAGAGGCACCCTCTCTATTATATTTAGGTGAGGAAGTGAGCTTTGTCAGAGGGAGGAATATGACACTATGGCAAGGAAAATTGTGGTTGCTGCTGAGCTTTGCTCTCTGGGGAGTTTTGGGATAAATTTCAGCTTCAAGGTGGAATTGCAGCTTGCATTTCCATAGTCCCATTAGGGTAAACCTGGGCTAGCACCTGTTTTCGTTGTGAGACTCATGGGAACACTTCTGTAAGGAAACAGGTTCCCCCTCATAGCATTGGTTATTTGGAGGGGTTAAAGGGAACCCCTGCCTAGCCCTCATTGCTCCATGGAAATCCTTTTGGTAGCATAAATCAGGAGACCGGTCTGTAAACAGTAACAGATGAGAAAATGCTCACGGTTTCAACCGAGGTAAAAGCCAGTGTTGGAGCATATTCGACAAACTGCTCAAAGACTCCATGAGAAGTAATAGCCTGCTTCATCCCATAATCTTCTCTATCGTCATCTTGTCCCAGTGCTCCAAGCTGTGGTGTTTTGCTTCTAATCAGCTAATGTGTGATGGTAATTAGCACATGAATTGTGTTGACTTCTCTGCTCATAATAATTAGGGTTTTGGTATGTTCTTAGGAGATCAAAATGGTATTTTTTTCCTCTGCCCAAATGTTTACTGTCAGATGGTAGCTAGTTACTAGTGTTTGACAATAGAAAATACAATACAGGCAATCTGACATTCTGAGATAAGCCACACATCCCCATGCCAGATTGTGTGGAAAGAGAGGATGGAAAAGAGGTTCCAAGGAATGAATGTGTGACTTTGCTTATGACTGGGAACAGTTCAACTTCTGCTGAGCAAGAGACGCTTGTATTATTATTAATTTCACATCTGAGTGATGACAGTGTGCTTGGTTCCATATGAAATCACAGGACCACGTGTGTTTACACATCTGCCATAATGTTCACAAACTTTAATTACCCAATGCTGCTGAGGCATCAGTGCTTGTTCTCATCTGGAATTTGTCCAACTTGGCTTCAGTCACATTAAAATAATGTCTAAATGAGGTTAAATCTGCTAATTTCAGTAAATTGACAAGAGATGGATGATGGGGAATCATTGCTGTTTTGGAGGATGACACAATGTTTAAATTAGAACCTACAGATATTTGGACATAATTCTAGAGAATTTATCAAGTTGTTAACATGCTATGTGCAATCTTTGTGTGCAAATAGAATCATTATAGGATATTGATGTGTTCACATTAGTTTAAGATCACAATTAGCATTGAGACCACAGGCATCAGCCCTATGTTAAAATCACAAAGTGAATACTATTTCATTATCACTTTCGAAACTTGATCTCTGTTTTCTGCACCTGCTACTCAACCTTGATCTTCCTGTAGTCTCCTAGCACCATCATCATTTGATTTTACCTTGGATTTACACAATACTTTTTCCTGAAGTGTTTAATCCTAAGAAAAAATAAGTTTCCATCAACTAGGATTCAGAAACTTAGGGTAGAATGATAGAACATTATTATAGGATAGAGTTTCATGTTTGGATTCAAAATACTAATTGGAAAAAAAAGTTCTTGTTTTCTATTATGATTGGATCTGAAATTTAAAACCCTAAAATATTTTTGTCCGGGCATTTATCTTTATCCCATAATTGCCTTTGAATTCTACTAGGAATTGGGAGAACTAGACTACATATTTCATCGCATAGTGGTCCTCCTCACTGAATACCCCTTCAAGAAAAGAGGTCCATGAACTATGACCATCTGGTCAAATCTTGCCTGCCACCTGTTTTTGTAAATAAAGTTTTATTGGAACATAGTCATGCTTATTTGTTTACACATTGTCTGTGGCTGCTGCCACATTATAATGGCAGAGCTGAGTAGCTGCAACTGAGGTCATAAGGCCCACAAAACCCAAAATATTCATCTGGCCCTTTCCAAAAATGCTTGCTGATCTCTGATCTAGACTTCTAAAAGTAAAGAAACAAATGATTCTCACTTAAATCTTTCCCACATTTGTTAAGTCCTTCCAAAAACATTAACATTTTGCATAAAAATGCCAAGAAAGTATAGGGAATATGGCACATTAATTTCTTTTCTATGTTCAAAGGGATCATTACAGTGACTACAAAAGGCTGTAATTCAGGGAAACAGTGAATTAAAATCCATTATCTCCAAAAGAATAATTCTCTGTCATCTGTCAAACCTCTCACAGAGCCCATGATATGGTCAGAGGAGAAAGACGGTGGGAAGGTAGAGAGAATCTTCTCACATAAGCATTGAAGTGTTCTTAGCCCATTCTCTGGGTCTAAGTAATAAGCAGCAGCAGCCAGAGGACTTGGATGTCCAAGTCTTGGTGGTGGCTGCTAAGTCAGCAATGAAGAATCCCAGGAGGGCACAGTAAAGAGTCTCGAAACAGGGCATCTAGGTCCCGGGTTTGGCTTGGCCACAAGCTAGTTCTATCAAATTTAAAAAGCCATGGTAAAAAAAAAAAAAAAAAAGTCCATGTGTTTACTCTGGGCTTCATTCCCTTTATATGCAAAATGTGACTATTGGACAAGAAGACTGATAACATACTCCACAGCAGTGGTTCTTGACTTTTTATTTTGTTTGTGTTTTGTTTTTATTAGTTTCAGAGGTAGAATATAGTGATTCATCAGTTGCATATCACACCCAGTGCTCATTACATCAAGTGCCCTCCTTAATGCCCATCACCCAATTATCCCTTTCCCCCACCCACTTCCCCTCCAGCAACTCTCAGTTTGTTTCCTAGAGTTCAGCATCTCTGATGGTTTGCCTGCCTCTCAATTTTCATGTTAATTTAGTTTAGTTTCCCTTTCCCTATGGTCATCTGTTTTGTTTCTTAAATTTCACATATGAGTGAAATCATACGGTATTTGTCTTTCTCTGGCTGACTTATTTCACTTATCGTACTACCCTCTAGCTTCATCCATCCATGTTGTTCCAAATGGCGAGATTTCATTCTTTTTGATGGCTGAGTAATATTCCATCACACACACACACACACACACACACACACACACCCCAGATGAATAGATAAAGAAGATGTGTACACACCCCACATCTTCTTTATCTATTCATCTGCTGATGAACATCTGAACTCTTTCCTATTTTGGCTATGGTGGACATTGCTGCTATAAACATTGGGTGCAAGTGCCCCTTTGAAACACTATGTTTTTATCCTTTAGATAAATACCTAATAGTGCAATTCCTGTTTTGACTTTTGCTTTATGTTGGCTGTACCTATGGAGATTTTTTAATCCCTGTGCCCTGCCTACAACCAAATCATTACATCAGAATGTCTGGTGGTAAACCTAGGCATCAGTGCTTTCAAATCTCTCCAGGTGATTTCAATTTTCAGACAATACTGAGAACTATGCTGTGTAGACCTCAAAGGCTGAATTATATACCCCATATTGCTGTCCTTAAAAAATGATAACTGAGAGTGATTGAGGGTGAGACCTTCCAACAACAACATATAGCAGAATAAAGAAGCAAATAATTTAAAGCCTAGCTCCTCATCATGGGCTTTAACATCTTTTGTTTGTGAAAAATAAAATTTTTACTAATAAATGACCATATATCTAAGGTCAGTTTCTGGTTCTTTATCTCATCCAGCACTTTGGAAAGGGAGTTTTGGTTCAGAAAAGAGTCAGCTGGACACAACTGAATTCAGGAGCCTTATTACCAGCTCTGGTCTCCTTTGTCGAAGATTGCATATTTTGGATTTGGTTAATTTCTCCCTAATGTACCTTGACCCTTAATATTGCTGCCCCCAAGTTGACACCACTAGGATGCAAGCTCAGTGAAGGCAGGGAGCACATTTCTCCTGTTCGTCTTTGTATCACCAGTGAATAGCATAGTACCTGGCTCATTCTAGTGTTCAAAAGAATGTTGAAAAATGGAAAAAGGATTATGTGAGGTTTGTATGATAAAGTTAAGATGGAAGTAAGGCCTTTCCAACTGTAAACAAAATTGATGTATAAGGATTCATGTCATCACTCTACTGAGTCTTTTCAGACTTCCCCTATAATTGTGCATTTAAAAAAATGACTAATAACCAGAATGTAACAATTCAGAGAAAGGTACTCTGATCTCTATTTGATAAAGACTATGAGGAAATCCAAGAGCCTGGCAAAGAGTGAGACTCCACTTCAAACAGAACTCGGAAAGCCATGCCAAGGTATGATTTCAAAACTTATTTGCATTTATTCTTTAAAAATGGAATCATACCAGAACCCACCACTTAACTCCCAAATCAGAAGAAGACCATGTCATCTACATGTGTTATGTTTGTTTGCTTTCAAGGCCCCTGCATATGGCTGTGCAGGTCATTCAGCTCACCCGGCTTAAGTGTGGTCCAATGGTCAGTAGCATCATCATCACCTGGGAGCCTGTTAGAAATGCAGAATCCTGGGGCCACTTCAGATCTACTTAACCAGATTCTGTATTTTAATAGGATCCCAGGTGGCTTATGTGTTCAATAAAGTTTGAGAAGCACTGTACAACAGATCCAGAACCATAGGCCCTCAGATTTTGTGATGACCACTTCGGAATATAAAATAACCATGTGTGGAAAGTTTACAGGGGAAAAAAAGATGGAATCACAAAAGGGAGTAAGCAATTAGACTGTCAAAAATGAGCACGCAACTTTTTTGAAAAAGCAAAGAGAAACTCTGAAATTGGAAAAAATGTAATTGTTAAAGAAAATGCTCAGTGATGTGTTACAAGACAAACACAAAAATGTGTTGTGTGTTCTTCTAGCTGACTCTTAACCATGGTGGATTTTTCTTCTCCTATGTGTGGTTTTTGAAAGTGAGCGCATATTTGACTGATCGAGATCTTTAAAAAAGGTGGGGGCCTGCATTGGTATTTTTTCCTCTGCAGAGGTATGCATTTATTTCTGCCAGGAATCAGAACGTACTACTAGGGTAGTCCTACTCCAGCTCTCATCCAGGTTGCCTGGCTTAACCTAGGAGTCTCAGGTTTGTATCACTTCCCTTTCTTCTCACTGCACTAAAGCCTTGTCTCCTGGCACCACTGATATGGGCAGCTGCCCCTAGCAAATCAACCTTCTGGAAGCACCCACCACTTTGGTTTCAGCTCCTGGTTTGTTAGTTTATTTCTCTCTCTTAGAGCTATGACATAAATGTAATTTTTAAAAAAATGGATGTCATAGTTGTTTTGTAGGAAGGTCCTACAAATTAACTAGTCCACCACAGTGTGGGAAACAGACTCTACTAAATGTATTTTTTCACTTACTAGATATTAGGTTAAAACACAAATTAGTATGGCTGAACCAGTCCACAAGCTCTTAGACCCAAAGTATGCCCTGGTGTAGATACTGGTGGCAACAAAGATCTGGCAAAAAAAATACAACAAAGGCAGAACCCCATGTAAGTGACTATCTTTTTGCCAACATCCTATTCTAGGCTTTATTTATTTGGAGGGAGGGTAGGCAAAAGTGAGTGAATCAAATATAAACTAAATCTTTCTGAAAACATGTCAGAAAAAAATAAAAATAAAAACCTTACTTTCTGAACAGCTTTAGACTTATAGACACGCTTTACTTCATGTATGTATACAGTGTACTTCATTAACATTTACACACACACACAACAGACTCCTACAAGGAAATTGAAGGTGATACCATGTTTCTCCATTTTATTAAGGATAAAAGGTTTGTGATTTAGAATGGGAGTCACTGGATCGAGTCCCGCATCAGGCTCTCTGCTCAGCGGGGAGCCTGCTTTCTCCTCTCTCTCTGCCTGCCTCTTTGCCTACTTGTGATCTTCCTCTATCAAATAAATATATAAAATCTTAAAAAAGAATTAAAAAAAAACCTTTAGAATGGGAGTCACTATAAGTATTTGCTAAAGCTGGCTCTTGCCAAGTTCCTTAACATCATTCCCAAATTTTGGTCATACTCATTCTGTGGTTGAGGAATGCTCTGGTAGAACCTATCTCTAATAGAATTCTGACCCATTGGATGTTCCCCCACTGGATGGGGTTGGGATTATGGAGGAAGATAGTGATGTCCATGGCTACCCTCGACTTACACAGCATCCAGCTTTGTCCCATTGAAAGCATGTCCTTGGATTGAAGTAAATCCATTGTTGTATAATTTCCTACAATCAAGAGAGAGAGGAGAAATCAGCGCCACATAAGAGGTGATGGTTGGGCTTCATTTCTGCAGTGTCAGAAATGTGCATGAAGGTTCTCTGGTCCCACAAGAAAACTTTACAGTATGTCTTGCTTGGAACATAGAATATTTCCTACTTTGAATCCCCTTTTACCAGACAGCTCCTAGTAACTTCAAACTATTTCTCAGAAACAATTCATTTTGAGAAGCAAAGATTTGCCACCATTAAGAATTTAAAAAAATATATTCTACTACCTATACTCAAAAAAGAAGAGTATGGGGTAATACTTAACCCAATGTCAATAATGAAAGATAACTTCAGTTTTTTTTTTCTTTTTTTCAAATGGTTTATTTATTTATTTGACAGAGAGAGCACAAGGAGGCAGAGTGGCAGACAGAGGGAGAAGGAGGAGCAGGCTTCCTGCTGAGCTGAAAGCCCAACATAGGGCTCAATCCCAGGACCCTGAGATCACAACCTGAGCCAAAGGCAGACGCTTAATTGACTGAGCCACTCAGGTGCCCCTAACTTCAGTTTCTTTCTTTCTTTTTTTTTTTTAAGATTTTATTTATTTATTTGACAGAGATCACAAGTAGGCAGAGAGGCAGGCAGAGAGAGAGAGAGAGAGAGAGAGAGAGAGAGAAGGAAGCAGACTCCCTGCTGAGCAGAGAGCGAGCCTAATGTGGGGCTCGATCCCAGGACCCTGGGATCATGACCCGAGCTGAAGGCAGAGGCCTTAACCCTCTGAGCCACCCAGGCGCCCCTAACTTCAGTTTCTTAAGATGAATATTTTTAAAGACATTGCTCACCTGAATGCATAAGCTTTATATTTTTCTGTTTAAAATGTTACGTCACACTTGTATTTTAACCAAATTTTTATCCTTATAGCTTATCATAGATTAAATGCTTAATGATCGTGGGCTGGATTAAGTTGAACTTCAAAGACAAATCTAAGAAAGGAGATAGGTTATACCCTTTTGTGGAAATTTTGATGTTTTAAATTGTTGCTATGTTTCTGCAGCTAATTCATGCAATGATTCCAGGGGCTGGACTGAAGTTGACACTCTCCTCTGTCTCCTAGTCAAGCCACTGAGAGGTGGAGGTGACTTGCAAAGAAAGCCACCTTGATGTGGACCTGTCAGGAATCAGGATTTCTGACCTCAAAGTGATTCTCCCCACCCACCCAAAGGAGAAGGAGCCCTGGCCATGGGAGCTCTGGTCTCCAAGAGGATGCATGGGGACTACTGACGTGTCTTAAGAGAAGGCAGCCATGACCACAGTCAAGTACAATTAGTGGCAATTGTAGGGGAACTCTGAAATGACTGTAGTCCACCACCTGTCAACTTTGATGACACATTAGAAGCATACAAGAGACTCTAAATTTGGAATTAGACCCGTCTCTGTCACTTCATAGTATGTAGATCCTGAGAACTTCTCGGCTTCTACTGCCTTCAGTTTTCTTATCTGTAAGAATACAATAATAATAATACCTAGTCAAATATATATTTATCAATGTGGGACACTTATAAGATGAGCATGTTAAAAGGAATACCCTGAAAACTTGGATTTATACTCTGTAGTTGTGCGGAACTGAGAGTAATCTTTGTTTGTTGTTATTTTTTATTTGTTTTAAATAATCACACAATGAGTTTAATTCCAGCTACTGGTGTGTCCTGGGTGAGGACTGTAGTGGACGGGGTTGCTAGGCACAGAGGCTGAAGAAAGCTCTGAGAGATAAGTTCGTTTTTTCTGAATTAGAGGTTGTTTTTTTTAAAGATTTTATTTGTTTATTAGACAGAGAGATCATAAATAGGCAGAGAGGCAGGCAGAGAGAGGGGGGGAAGCAGGCTCCCTGCTGAGCTGAGAGCCCAATGCGGGCCGCGATCCCAGGACCCTGAGATCATGACCTGAGCTAAAGGCAGAGGCTTAACCCATGGAGCCACCCAGCCACCCAGCCCCTGAATTAGAGTTCTTTTATGTATATGTGAGAATTATACATTTGGGATTTCTATTTTCTGAAACTTTGTTAAGAGTCCTAGACAATGAAAATATTCTTTGTTAGGATTACATTTCAGAGATTAAATGAAACTCTTAATAGACAAATAGGCCTTAGAAAGGGAAAATAATGAAGGAAGAAAAAAAATAGTGAAAAAGAAGGAAAAGAAAAAAAAGGATTGCAAACTTCAATTGAAACTCTATCCTGCCAGGAATATGCACATGAATTCACCGCTGGACACACACCCTCTCATGCAGTATTTTGAGCATGCGCTTCGAAGAAGCAAGGACTTTTGCAGGAATGTAAAAATGTTCATCCAAAAAGATAGTGGGCAACCCATGCCATCCCCCACTCTTGATTTCAGGAAGCACAGGATTCCCTCATTCAGATGTTTATTAAATGCCTACTGTGCCTGTGCTCCATGGGACAAGGAGCTGCTTTCACTTGAGAAGGCTGCCAGAGGCATGGGGTCCTTAGAAAAAAAGGACAAACGGTGAAGGTAAAGAAACTGAGAAATGAGTTTAGATGCAATGAGTGGTTCAGTTGCACAACGGAAACCTTCATAGGGGAGGCAAAAGGCCTGGAGGCTTGGGACTGAGCAGGCTAAAGGCTCCAGGTTTTTGCTGTGTTGTCAGATGAAATGATGGCCAAGAAGAGTCTCTCGTCTTGTCCAAAGACCTATCCCCATGTTTCAAGGAGAAGGATGAAATGCTTCACTGTGACTAGAGACTCAGAGGCTGAGGCAGTTTCATAGGGCTTAGACTGATAGACTTAGAATGCCTTGGAAGCAGCTTCTTGTAAGAGTTGTGGGGATGCTTGGATCAATTTTATTGGGGAATAATCCAATCAAGTTTGTATCTCACAAAAACCCTCTGGACTGTAGTGTGACCAGAGAAAGGGAACTGGGTAATAATCCAGGCAAAAAAGCCAGGAGGTCTGAGCTTGGGTAGTGGTACTGAAGCTAGAGAGGAGATCCTTTGGACAACTCTAGTTCATGGCTAATTTGATGACAGAGGGGAGTTCTCTATAAGTTTGGAGAATTAACTTATCTTTTATACCTCTACTAGATTTCTTTATTAGAATACTTTATGAATTTCTCTAATAAACATCTCCTTTTGAATATCTAAAGAGCAGAACCCATCCGAACTCTGAAAAATAATGATGTAGAGCAACACTGTTTTCTATTCAATAGGGTTTTGTAGGATCTTCTTAACAGTTGTGATAACGAGTTGAGTGTGAGTGCAAAGAGCATGAGAAGCTCTTAGTTGCACCTTTTTCTAACTCAGTGATCTTGGAAAAGTCACCACTCTAACCCCAGGTTCTTCCTGTATATAATGGGGATATTAGAATACAGTATATTACAAGGCCTTCAGGTCAAATCTGGTCTACTACTTGTTTTTGTAAATTAATTTGATTTGAAAGACAGGCTTACTAGTTTATGTATTGTGTATGGCTGGCAGAGGTAAGCCGTTGCCGCAAAGACCATGTGTTCTGTAAGACCTAATGGTCGTCTCTAGATCAAGTGTGCTGACCATTTCTATAAGGGAATACTTGTCTTGTTACTTAAACCATTTTGTCATCAATTAGACTAACATACCATACGGCAATCCTCTTATTTAACTCTGAAACCTTTAGGAGATCGTAGAGCACATCCTATAGTATGTTTCTTGGAGGGACTGTGAAAATAAGGCAATGGTCCAAATAACATTTTGGTTGTTGGCAGGAGTAGAAATGGCAATACTCACAGTGTCAGGGTTTCATTGCACAGCCCCTGGAAAGCATTGGCAGGGATGGAAGTCATGTAAGGGTTGTCTGTGATTTCACTGCAAAAGAGGGACAAAAAGACACTTGGTGAAAAAAAAAAATGCTTTCCTCCAGGGACTGGGCTTTTGCTCCACCCTATGCACTCAAATAAATAACCTGATGCAATTTAGTTTAATCTTGTTTATTTTTAGGTTTCGTTGACTCCTCTTAGCTGCTGGTGGCTCAGAGGTTCAGTGAGGCATGGAGAGCTGTCATAGCGGGACGCGCACTCACAGCCTTCCAGACGTGCGTAAGCAAGTGAGCTTTCGGGGTGGGCTGAAGCCCTGACTAAATCCTCATTTACAAGGGGAGCAGGCGCCTTAGAGACTTCAGTAAATCTGTGACAAATACTTGACCCATAGCAACTAGAGTTTTCTAAGTGTATGGAACCTCTAAAAAAGGCTGGTACAATGAGATCAGTGGATTTCTTTTTATGAGTATTACTGAAGTGTCCTATGCTTGCAAACTACTGCCCGGCGGATGCGCCTGGAGAACTTTCTGTGCCAGTCTAGTTGCTAGAAGACTGCCTATTTTTGAACTGTGCTCTTCAGCAGCAAAGAAGCGTGGTCAAATTTTTTTTTTTTTTTTCTGGCAAAATCCCGAGGGTTCAGATCCGACCACTCCACCTTTTGCTGACTCTGTGGTGGAGACTCACCCTGCAATGCTGCATAAGTCTGTTTACTTCTATACAACGAGGTAAGACACATGACTATGTCGCAGGTTTTGGAAAAGGGCACATGGCCACCAATCAGAAGCCACAGGAAGTAGTTTGAACACCACTGGTTTCTGCTCCTTGGGCTCTGCTCAGACAAAATCACTTAGGTTTTCTGTTCCTCCGTTTCTTCATTTATAGAATGGAAAAAAAATTATAGCTGCCTTTTACGCATTATAAAGAGGTCAAGAGTAGCAAACATAAGAATACATGTGTCTGAAAAGCTATTAAAATTATGTGGAAGATAAAGTATCATCATTATCGTCAAATTTTCCTTCTATTTGATCACTCTCATCAGCAAACAAACATGCCATAATTTATCCCATCAAACAACAAGAAACAACAAAAATAAACCTTTTCTCCTGTCCCAGTATGCTCCAACTACTGAGATATGTTTCCGCTCCTTTTTAATAGTAGGACTTCTCAAAAGAGTTTGTAATAGCACTTGTCGGAATCACCAAAGTCCCCTATTACTAAACCCAGTGGTTGTTTCTCAGTTTCTGCCTTACTTCATCTGCCAGCACATTTGTCACAGCCGATCACTGCTTCCCCTTGAGACAATTGCTTCACTAGGTTTCAACCAACCCCAATGATTGCACCCTACTCCTTGTCAATGACAAAATACTGGTAAACATTGCATATGTGCATACTTACAGTATAAAGAATACATCAGTGGAATAAACTCTGGTCAGGTCAGGGAATATTCCAAGTCCAGTGTTGAAAATGCCACTACAGTGCATGAAAAGGAAGAAGAGGGAACAGAAATAAGGTAAGAAAACCAACACATAGGAAGTAGATTAATGTATTAGTTGAAATCATGGGTTCTGAAGTCAGACTCGAGTCAAATCCTAACTCCTTCATTAAATATCTGAGTGACCTGGCTAAGTTCTAACCTTTGGAGGAGATGTTGCTCCTTCAAGGTATAAAAATCTAATTCAATCCACCAGTGTCAATACATTTTTTCCAGTTTATAGGAATATGAAGACTGTTTCAACCAAGGGGGCTTCTTATAAATAGGAATTCAGGTCTCTTTCCATGTGTGCATGCGTGTGTGTGGTATTTCCCTGTTTTAATTGGAGGGCATTATGGGGGGGCAGTGGAATAAGGAGAAGGTGGGACAGAAAGACAATATAATACATAATACCCAACTCCAAACCAGGCTTCTTCTTTCAACCTTCTCATTATATTGTGTACATTGTTTTGCCAAGAATTATTTCCTCCTGGCCGTCACCTGGGAGTAGGATGGCAGCAGTGCCATTTAGAAAATATGTCCAGAAAAGGCATAAAATCAATCAAAGACAATTGTCTTCACTTTCCAGAGTTTGTGTCATCAGGGCAAAATGTCAAGACTAAAAGATGTGCATCAGACGGCACGAATACATCCACTCTCAGGCTCCTGGTTAATTTAACATTCATTGTAGCTACTAGGACGTAGGTAGTGGAAATGGAGGGGTGTTTTTGTGTTTTGTTTTGTTTTGTTTTGTTTTTTTGAGAGGCATGGCACTGCTTGGGGTACGAGTTAGACAATACCAGTAAAACTTTAAAGAAAGTCTTCCAGCAGAGGAAACTCTGGTTCATTGAAATACCTTCTTAGGCAAATTCTGACCTGACTGCTTCTAGAGGGGGAGGCGTAAGATTTGAAGAGAACACAGGAGCCAGAGGTGTCACAAAGAACAAATGGGATATTCCAGATAGCAAAGGAGAGAGTGAAGATTCCATAAAGAATATGTGAAGAACAGGAAACAAACTGTGAACAAAGTAGTCAATTGCAAGAGAGGTACATGTGGAAGTGTGTGTGGCAGGGGGAGGCCCTGGAGTTAATTGGGGACCATATCCCGTACAGCGGGGCTGGAAGTGCCAGATTAGGGCAGGACCTCTCTTTTCTTCAAAGCCCCAAACAAGTCCACCTTTCTGATGTGTCCTCTAGTTAACTATGCCCCCTCATAATGTATGTACCTCTTATTTATCACTTATTTATTTATCACTTATTTATCACTTATATATCATTTATTTACCTCTCCAGTAGGAGAGGAACTTTTCAATTTTATACAGTATCTTCCCAACTAGATTGTAAGCTTCTTGAAGGTAAGAACAGTGTTTTATTACCTTATAAATTCCCTCACAGAGCCGCACACATACTAAGGGATCATTGTATCAAAGAACTATTGATTGATTGAAACTTGAAGTCCACACAAGAATGATTGCCTTGTCCCATAAGTTTTTGTTATTTCCCAGATGCCTCTCCAGCCACATTTCCCAACACTATCCTCTTCTACTCTTCCTGCCATCTCCCACTCCCACTTATTCATACTGAATTATTTTTAGGGCCCCAAATGAGCCATATGGTTCCACACCTTTGTGTCTTTATCATGCTGGTCCATCCATCTGTATTTTTCTTCTGCCCCTCCCTCTTCTTTTCCTGGATAGCTTCTATTCATCCTTAAAGACTTAATTCATAAAATATATATGGATGCACACTATTATTTAAAAGCCCTAGATGGAAACAAGCTAATATGTTAATGATTATTTCTGAGTCTTAGGATTAAGGTTGATTTTAATTGTTTCCTCTCATAATACTTTTGTGTTGATCTTTCACAATGCCTGTGAACCAGAAAGAAGGGAAGAAGGGACAGGTTCTTCCAGCTGATGCCCAGAGGACCTGAGGCCATACATACACATCAATTGAGCACATTTTTATTGAGCATCTACTCTGTGCCAGCCAGTACAGAGGCAATAGAGGTAAAGTGCTGTGGTTCCTGCTCTCAGGGAGTTTATAATTAGCTCACAAGGTGTTGCCAAAACAAAGCAATAGTGTTGTCTCTTCCATTTTTTTTACCCCAACCTTCAAGAGTTTGGATTTTGCCCTTTGTGGCTTTTTTAATTTTCTGTGTGACAGGTACTTTAATATTGATATTGTTGTGATACCCATTTCTCATAAAATTGACCAATGGACTCTTAGAGTTTTTTTGTTTTGTTTTGTTCTGTTATACTCCATTTAAAGGCTATGTATATATCGTGGTATTTTCTCCCTCATGTCTCTTGGATCAAGTCTTTGGTCCCAGAATTATATGCTGACTTTTTTTTTTAGATTTTATTTATTTATTTGAGAGATAGAGATCATAAGTAGGCAGAGAGGCAGGCAGAGGGAGAGGAGGAAGCAGGCTCCCCGCTGAGCAGAGAGCCCGATGCGGGGCTCGATCCCAGGACCCTGGGATCATGACCTGAGCTGAAGGCAGAGGCATTAACCCACTGAGCCACCCAGGCACCCCTATATGCTGACTTTTAAATAGGTTTTTTAAATGTGGATCATTTCACCTGACTCCTTGTTTGATGGGAAAGAGTGGGGAGTAAGTCACAGGATGTGATTTGTCTCAGGCCATATACTCCTAAAATGACCCTGGCCCACATCATCCTAGGGAGACTTGTGGTAGACAATAGCATTATAATTCTCTTTAAGGAAAAAAAAAGTATAATGGGATAGGCATTAATACTTACAGGAACTTCAAGAGGGGGAGCTCTTTTAGGGCATCAGGGTCTATGGAAGTTAAGCTTCTGGTATTCCGAATCTCTCTGTAAGAGTTACAGGAAACACATTCATCATAATATATCCATTTCTGTTCTTACCAAAGTTAAAAATATTATGAATCAGGCTTAACAAATGTTCATGAGAAAAATACACATTTACGCAATGCCCCAGGGACTGTTTCTTCTGGGAATCGGTCCCATCAGGAGCAAACTCCTCCCAGGGACACACTGGCTGTTCACCCTCCCCATCCCTGACTTAGTTCCAGTCCATTTGAATGTATGGGTGACCCTTCTCTTGATTGTAGTCTCACAGCCTTTCCTACCTGCCACCCTCAACTTTTTATATTTAAATAGAAAAGAAAATCTCCTCCAATGGTGTGTTGAGAACAGATACCTTTATTATTACCAATAGCACATATCCTGGCCCTGGAGCGGATGCTGTGCAGGCTAAACGATGGATGATAACATGGCAGTGAGGGCCGTGAGCTGCTTCTGCCAGTTGCTGTTTCAGAGGTAGTGGCTATGGTGAGTCTTAACAGTTCCCTTGAGCTGATTGTTCTATACCAGTAACTGAAGACTTAAGTACATGCGGTGTGATACCACGTATGTCTGCAACTTACATACTTAGGATTATTGACAAGTCGATCAAAATGACCAGTTAGCATCAGTGAAGTTCACGACAGGTAGAAAGAGGGTCTCATTCGGTAAAACTGAATGTATTCAGCACATGTTGATTGGTTGAAAGAGTTTAAAGGCACTCTCTATGCTTCTATGAACAGGACAGAAGAACCCAGCAAGACCTGTATCCTCTTCCCTTAGAGATGGTCCTTAAGGCTAAAGGAACCTGCATCCACTCACTCACAGTCACAACTAGAAGACTTAGGAACCAGCCCTGGACTTTTAAAAATGATTTTACTGACAGAGAATTTTCATAAAATTCATGTATTGCTGGTATACAATTAGGTAATTTTTCGTAAACTTATAGAACTGTGCAACCTTCATCACAACCCAGTTTTAGAACATTTCTATCAATGACAAAACTCCATTTGCCCATGTGCAGGTAATTCCCACCCTCCCCCATGCCTAGGAACCACGGGTCTGCTTTCTATCTCTGAATCTACCCTCTCTGGACATTTCATATAACTGAAATTGCAAACATGTAATCTTCTTTTTTCTTTTTTCTTTTTTTTTAAAGATTTTATTTATTTATTTGACAGACAGAGATCACAAGTAGGCAGAGAGGCAGAGAGAAAGGAAGGAAGCAGGCTCCCTGCTGAGCAGAGAGCTCGATGCAGGGCTCTATCCCAGGACCCTGGAACCATGACCTGAGCTGAAGGCAGAGGCTTTAACCCACTGAGCCACCCAGGCACCCCAAACATGTAATCTTCTTTATCTGGCTTCTTCCACTTAGCACGGTGTCTGTGAAGTTCATACACGTTGTAACACACAGCAGTAGTTAGCTTTTAATTGCTGAATGGCCAGAGGGAACTGAGGTCAAATGTTGACTCCGCCACTTCTCTCTGGCTACGTAACCTTGGGCAAGTTGACCTCTCTGAGCCATAGTTCCCTCATCTATAAAACAGGGATAATAATACCACATCTTTCATAGGACTCTTGTAGAAATTAAATAATGTCTATAAAGAGTTTGACATGTAGCCTAGCACACAGTGAAGGCTCTATGAACAATAGTTTTATTACTGTTATTCTCCTGAGTAGAATGAAAGCTAGAACAGACTTCAGAGACTTGAGGTTGGAGGTGCAACAATGTTCATACAAAATTAAAAAAACAACAACAACACTAGGTGTGGTATTTGACTAAGGCCGTGGAGTATCAAACAGATCTTGGGAAAGAGAGGATAGGATCAAAAACTACTGGGACACCGGGGCTGGCTCTGTTGGTGAAGCACTGGACTCTGGATTTTGGCTCAGGTCATGATCTCAGCCCTGTGTCGGGCTCAGCCCTGGGCCTGGAGCCTGCTTAAGATTCTCTCTCTCTCCCTCTGCCCCTGTGCCACTCCCCACCCCTCCAGTCAAGCACTTGCTCTCTCAAAAAGAAAAAAAAAGAAAAAAGAAACTATCTTGCTTCCACCTCAACTTACTGTCTTATTAATATAAGCTTATTGTCTATCGTCTCCATTAGCAAAACTTTGCCCAGATAGCTCACTTTATTGTTCTTTACTGAGTCCTCTTGTAGGACACATCCATGCTTCAACAGAAAGCATCACCAGTTTATATCCCAAGATCCTTAGAATCCCTCACCCCAAAATCAAGATCCTGCATGGAAGGAATCACTTTAAAGTCGATTTTGTCCTGGTTTGAGACTAAACACCCTGTATTTCTGGAGCTCTGTCTGTCCTGGGTAAATGGGGCTGGTTGGCTGCCTTACTGCACGATCCCATAGCTGTCCCCGCCTTGCCCGTCTCAGATACTTTTAGACGCTATAGAGTTGAGGTGCCCTCTCTCTGCATGTTCAGTAATAAACTTCTTGCCAGAGCTTTCCATGGGAGGAGAAGGGTTTGAACTGCTGTCAGTCAAATATAAACGAGTTAGGAGAGTTTGCCGTCTGGCAAACTGCTGGATGAGAGACTATTGTTGAACAAGATGGGCTTGAGAGAGTGGCCCAATAGAATGTTCCAGTGAAAGGCAGCCAGCTGAAGGAGCTCTGGAGGTGGTGAACGAGAAATGAGAAACTGCTGTGAGTTCCAGTTGACTAAAGTAGGCCATTACCTACATGGTTGAAAGAGGTAGGAGAGGCCAGGAGAGGGGAGATACAAAAGAGATGGATTTCTTTTTCTTTCTTTCTTTTTTTTTTTTTCAAAGATTTTATTTATTTATTTGACAGACAGATCACAAGTAGGCAGAGAGGCAGGCAGAGAGAGAGGGAGAAGCAAGCTCCCTGCTGAGCAGAGAGCGCAATGCGGGACTCGATCCCAGGACCCTGAGATCATGACCTGAGCCGAAGGCAGAGGCTTATTAACCTACTAAGCCACCCAGGTGCCCCAAAATAGGTGGATTTCTTAGGGCAAATCTAAGACAAGCAAGAGTTACCACAAGACTCATCAAGGAAAGGAAACCGCTTTCTGAGGTAAGAAGACAGTCAGTTGCTCACGCTCACAAGTGACTTTAAAACAACAACAACAAAACTCTGCTAAGAGAGCGGTAAATACTGTATGACCTCACTTTTATATGGCATCTAAAAAAGCCAAACTCAGAGAAATGGAAAGTAGGGTGGTGGTTACTAGGGGCTGGGGAGGGCTGGGTTCAAAGCGTACATCCATTTATAAGATTAACAAATTCTGGGAGTCTAATGTACAGCCTGGTGATGATGGCTAATAATATAATAAGAATACTGCGTTACGTCCTTGAAAGTTGCTAAGAGAGATCTTAAACTGTCTTCGCTACAAAAAAGAACTGTAATTAGGTGACAGGATGGAAGTGCTACTGTTATGGCGGTAACCATTTTGCAGTAATGTAAGTCTGTCAAATCAACACCTTGGACACCTTAACCTTACAGAGGGTTACCTGTCAATTATATCTTTAAGCCTAGAAAAACAAAATCTGTGCTGAAGTCAGAAGGGAAGGGGGCAGGAGCTGCTACCTTAGCCAAATGGAGACAGGGGTCAGAAGTGAATGCAGCTGGATAACCTTTTCCAAGAAAGCAGAGAGGAGAAGTGAGCACTCGCAGAACTCTGATAAGAGGAAAAGGGTGAAAGGCGAGTCCGAAGTCCAGTAAGTTCCAAGCCTGCATGGGAGGGTGAACTTGACTCGCTACAATTCTGAGTGAAGCAATTACAGCCCAAGAGTGCAGGCAGCTAGCTATGTTGCCAGGACACTGGGGACGCCGAGAGAAAGAAAACATGTATATCACGCCAGCATGACAGGTTGGCGTAGAGCTGTCCCCCAGAGTGAGGACAAGAGGTGAGGGAGGCAGGGCTCCTGGATCAGCCCCTGGGGGGTCCCTGAATGACTGCGTGGAGGAGCACCGCCCTGGCCCCCTGCCCCTGCACCCGGTACTGTCCCATGAGCAAGAAGTAACCTTCAGTTCCCTTCAGGCTGTCACAGAGCTTTAATTTTGTCTATTTCTTAGCTATTAGCCTACCCAAACTAATATAATAAGCATCAATAAAATTCTTAAAATACAGAGCATAGTGTTCCTTGTGGTTGTCTCTGGTAGGTAGGTTTGGAAGCTAAGAATGTATACTTCTCACTTTTTATTTTATCTTATTTTTTAAAGATTTATTTATTTATTTTAGAGAGAGGGAGTGCATGCACCTGTGAGTGAGGGGAGGCGCAGAAGGAGAGGGAGAGGGAGACTCTGCCCTGAGCTGAGCCCAATGGGCACCTGCTCACCCTGCCAGGGCTCAAACCCAGGACCCTGAGATCAGTACTGAGGCCAAAACCAAGAATCAGATGCTCAACCCACTAAGCCATCCAGGCGCCCCTATTTTATCTTGTTCAAAGTTAAAAAAAAAAAAAAAAAGGCATACAAAAAGTCCTGAATTTCAAAAAAACACAAAGGAATATATATTCTATATAAAAATTTTAAAAACCATATAAAGTGTCAGATACTCTGAGTGTGGGTGGGAAGGGCAAAGGGGAAGAGAATCTTAAGCAGACTCCACACTGAGCACAGAGACCAATGGGGGGTGAGGGTGGGGGGACTTAATCTCATGACCCTGAGATCACAACCTGAGTTCAAACCAAGAGTCTGATGCTTTGCCCACTGTGCCACGCAGGTGCCCCTATTTGTTCATTCTTAACAAGAGCAAATAACAGAAAAATTGGCTTGTTCAGAACAGCTGTCATTGTGGCAGGCACTTAGTACCCCAGCCTACACCCACACAGTCTGGGAAATCAGCAAAGTGATAGAAGAGAGTCCTCAGGTTGGGTAGAGAAAGGCAAGCGGAGGAGAAATGAAGGCTTAAATCCTTCTACTATTACAGAACTTTCCAACTTCTTTTTTCCTTTCATTGTCCTGTGCCCCCTTTTCCCTCTTAACTGGCATTAGATCATAGCATTTGACTCTGCTCCTTAGTCTTAGAGAT